AAGTGCGCGCGCTCCGCTGCTGGCGGCCCGGGTTTGGATCCCGGGCGCGCACCGATGCACCGCTTCTCTGGCCATGCTGAGGCTGCATCCCACATACAACAACTAGAAGGATGTGCAGCTATGACATACAGCTATCTACTGGGGCTTTGGGGAAAAAAAAAAAAAGCTGAATAGCTTTAAAAAAAAAAAAAAGAAGAAAATCCTGTCACATGCTACAAACATGGATGAACTTTGAGGGCATTAAGCTAAGTCAAAGAACTCAGTCGCCAAAAGACAAATACCGCATGATTCCACTTATGTGAGGTTATCTAAAGTAGTTAAACTCCTAGAAACAGAAAGTAGAATGGTGGTTGCCAGGGGATGGGGGTAGGGGAAGGGAGAAATGGGGAGTTGCTATTGAACTGGTACAGAATTTCAGTTTTGCAAGATGAACAAACACAACAACGGGAATATACTTAACACTACTGAACACTTAAAAATGGTTAAGACAGTGAATTTTATGTTATGTGTTTTTTACCGCAATTAAAAATAAAAAATAAAAAAAGATGCCATTAATTTTAAGATGCTACCCTATTTCAGAGTCTTAATATGAAAAACGTTTGCATCTTAGAATCCATTAAATGCAATATTATAAGGCCTGCTTTCTATAATTTGTGTCATCTATTTCATCTACTTTAGTTCTTAGCAAATGGGTTTTTATTCAAATGTACACTTTAATCTTTGGGCTGCTTGTGAATATTTTGGCACTTCCTATATCATTGAAACTTTTTTAAAAAACACCAAATGCAAACAGTTGACTAAAAACAATCAAAATAGGGGCCGGCCCTGCGGCTCTGCGGTTAAGTGCGCATGCTCCGCTACTGGCGGCCCAGGTTTGGATCCCGGGCACGCACTGATGCACCGCTTGTCGGGCCATGCTGAGGTGGTGTCTCACATACAGCAACTAGAAGGATGTGCAACTATGACATACAGCTATCTACTGGGGCTTTGGGGAGAAAAAGGGGAAAAAAAGGAGGAGGATTGGCAATAGATGTTAGCTCAGGGCTGGTCTTCCTCAGCGAAAAGGGGAGGATTGGCATGGATGTTAGCTCAGGGCTGATCTTCCTCACAAAATAAAATAAAATAAAAAATAAAAAATAAAAAATAAAAGGACCAGCCCGGTGGCGCAAAAGGTTAAATGCGCGCGCTCCGCTGCAGCCCCAATGGGGTTCGCCGGTTCGGATCCTAGGCGCGCACCGATGCACCGCTTGGCAAGCCATGCTGTGGCAGCGTCCCATATAAAGTGGAGGAAGATGGGCACGAATGTTAGCCCAGGGCCAGTCTTCCTCAGCAAAAAAAAGGAGGATTGGCAGATGTTAGCACAGGGCTGATCTTCCTCACAAAAATAAATAAATAAATAAAAATAAAAACAATCAAAATAATGTTTTTAAAGTTTAAAAATAGTGAGAAATGCACCTAATGTATTAAAAAAAGATAGCTAAAAAATATTCATGATTCTATATTTTAAAAATAGAAGTTTAAGCAAACTGACTAAACAAATACAGCAATATTTAATTGCTAATGACAGAAACAGAGGTAATTTTAAATATTCCTTTTTATTACCTGTATTTTCCAACTGTTTGGCAATGAACATATAGTACTTTTGTAAGGAAGGAAAAAAAGTTGAAAAATGAGACAAATACTCAAGTTTTGTTTCTTCATCCAGGATGATATCATTACCTTTTTCACTTAATAAATCATCAGATATCATTACTAAATTAAAAATAGGAGACCATCCCTGAAATATTTCAGAAAATGTCACTCCATCAGGAAGTTAAGTATAGCTAAGTAGAATGCATGAGACTCCTAAAATGACCCTAATGAACATGGCCAAACCCCACATTTAGATGCCAAAGAGCACCTTTTATGATAATGTGTTTTTGAGGATTAATTTAAAACTTTCTTTATTGATTAAAACTTTGATTTACAAGCCATAAAACATCATTCATTTAAAATTATTTATAAGGCATAAAATATATAGTCATTTATATTCATTAATTCATAAAATAAAAGCTTACTTTGGAGATTTGACTCATTTTTTAATAAAGGACAGGCCTAAACCTTTACTCTAGGACTCTATAAAACTCTTAAAAAACAGCTGGAGTAAAATATTTGGAGCACATCACGACTCGCCCATCCTCAAAACTGTTAGAGTTAAACCAAAATAGACAGATTAACAGCTGCAATAATTTTCAAGTAAATTTGGATTAACATTCAAGCTATTTTCCTAAAATGGGTTTATGTATAACAGATGCATTCATGACAGACTAGCACATCTACAAGTTGATTAACTAGAATATCTTTAGGTAAATTTCAGAGTAAAATAAGTGTTTTCTCCACCAGAGTAGATGAAATATTACCTAGATCTCGTCTTGGCAAGTAAGACTGCTCCATTAAATCTTGGGCCTCAGATCTTGTCAGTTGTGGCTCCTCCACATCAACAACCTTAATGAGCTCCTTTTGAGACGGGCAGTTTCTGTTCTGAAGACTCCATGAGTGGCTGTGCACATACCATCTACTATCTAACAACTGGGATTTAGAAGGGGAAGACCTAGAAAGCAGGATGAAAGGAGAAAATCATCACCACAGCTTGTGAAAGGACTAATCATACTTCCCCGGGCAGCCAAAGCAGAAGTGAAACAGCTCACTGTCAGAGAGATCAGGAATGACTAGCAAAACAGAACACAAGGGACAGCCTAGAAGCCTGGATTCATGATGCCTCCCAACATGTCAGGGCTGACAGATAACATCTCCCCTTAGAGTCCGGTCTGAAGCAGCATATCAGCCAGCTGTTTAAAACCATGTCAGTAAATTGCACCAAATTATCTACTGTCACTCACTCAAATTCTATACACTATTCCACTTGAGTCCAAATGGATGTTAGAATCACATCTCTCATGAAAATAGAAAGTTGATTAATTTTGACATCTCTATACTCATTCTTTCTACCCAATTTTAGCAAAATTCACAGAATGATCCCTACCTCTTGCCTTTTCAATGTCCAAAGTCATTCTAAACACAAAAGCCAGCTATAAAATCTTGTTACAAGAGCATATGCACCCAGTAAGTAATTTCTCTACTCATTCAGGTGTTTAGAACTTTGCTGAATAAGATACTTATCAACGGATTTAAAGGACCTCAGAGATCAGCTAATTAATTCAAACAATTATTAGGTGTTTACTGTGAGTGAGGCATGAAAGCTAGGCCCTGTGGATTAAAGATGAGCAAGACCTGAATTGCTGCTCTCAAGGAGTCTAGTAGAGGGACGAAGTTCAACTGATGTATAGGTTCTTTAGTAGAAGTCTTTATAGGGTACACTGGGGAGGGGGAGGAGGAGCAGGAATATTTAGTCTGAATATTAAATGGATGGTTAGCTCAATTGGTTAAAGCGTGGCAATAAGGTTATTACCTCCAAACACGGGTTTAGTGCCTATGGAGGCCAGATCTTTTCATTCTCTGTCACAGCCACAATGCCAGTACCCCAGCCTTAAAAATATATCCTCAGTCCAGTCCAAGAGGCTTGGAAAAGATGATGTGATTACATTACTGACAACCTGTCACTATTCCCAGAAAGATAAATAAAAAACATACATACAGTCAGTAGGAACTCAATAAATATAAATTCCTTTTCCTTCCCAGAGTGGGGAGATGTGTGACTTTAATGGCTCTGAGACTCGCTCCTGAACTATCAAATAGGAATAATAGTTCAGAACTCATCTTTTTACCCTCACAGTGTTGTTGTAAAGATCAAATGAGGAAGTAGATCAAGTATTTTTGAAAATATAAAGTGTTTATACAATCTTATTTCAATAGTGATTTGAAAAGACATCTCTGAAAGATGTTCTGAATATTTCCTGGGGTAAATCAATAGTTAAACTTTTTCTAGAAAGGCAAAAACTTCAGTTAGGGCAAGGGCTGCCTTGAAGAAGTCTACTGTCAGCCTCCAGACTTGTTTAGGTTTCAGTTCTATATTTTACTCTGACCTTCAGAAGGAACAGATCTACTGTGCATGTCTCATGTTGTAGCTCATGCCTTGGATAGGTCCAAAAAGCCTATATGCAATTAAACAGAAGAAGTGTCCTAGAGAAATGAGAGGTTAGAAATGTCTGTGTGCAAAAAACTAGAGAAAGGGTGAAAAAATTTAGCAATAAAGGTGTTACTTAGATGCCACAACTTGACATTTATTACTTCTTACCTTTCCATTTCTGGTTCTTTATTTTTACTGTTGGAACTATCCAGAGATACTTGAAACTTGTCAGTAGAAAGGTTTTCTGGATTCTGGCTTATAGGATATTCAGTACTTTTCTCTGAGGTTAATACTGCTTTAAATGGAATGAGAAAACAAAGAAATCTACTTTACTGCTTTGTCCTAATGGTGATAATTCAGGTGAAGATAGCAATTTTTTCAAAAGCAGCAATCTGTGACAATCAAATTGGTTTTTAAACAAGTATATCAGACAAAATTTTATAAACACAAGTGATGTAGCACCAAATGGAACTAAATAACTAAAAAATTATAAGGACAATAAAAGGAACACTTTAAGACTAGGTAAATAAAGATACCCAGCTGAGACAAGGCTGAAAAAACCATATATTTATATTTTTTGGCCCTGAATGATACGGAAACAAGAACAGGAAATGAATTTTTATCTCTGCAGCAAAATAAATTATACTCAAATCCCTTTAGATAATAGGGAAGAGAAAGTACTGGAAAGTGCAAAGGCACAATTCCTTTTCCATCCCTACTGCCTCCACGTCAAAGACTGTATAGGACAGGGGTTTGAGCTTTTTGCACACATGGGGAAACAAGAGGGCAGGCGTCAGATGAGAAAGAAAAAACAGGTGACATTTTTCTTCACATTTTCAATTACTAAGAAAAAAACGAAAAAACCAATACATATGAAAAAACCCAAGGTGCCAACTGATAAGGAACCTTGAAGTAATACGTGGAAATAATGATGAAACAGCACAAGGAAGGAAAAAACACAAAACAGACCCAAGGCAAAGTTCCTGCATGTTAGTACATCCTTTTTATTTATTACTTCCTCCAAATGTATTATTGTGCCACTGCTTTCTAGGAAATAGCTTAAAGGCAGAAATATTTAAAAAGCAAAAACAAGTGTTTAAAAATTACAAATGTCTTCTATCCATTAACAAGTCACTGACAACTGTAATGATTTTGAGCTTTTGTTAGAAAACAATAAATAAACAAAAAATTCTTCCATAAATTGAGGAAGAAAATTTCAAACAAAGGGCTATATTAATTAAACTGTTTTTTAAGACACTGGGTAGCCTTCGGGGAAATAATCATTGATTTCCTGAGTTAATCCTCAAATGCATTATTTATAGTTTCTTTTATGCTCATCTTTTCTGGACCTGAGATTCTAGGAACACAAGAACTCTGCCTGGAGCTACCAGCTGCTGAAAGGAGGCAGGGTCTAACCATGAACCAGCAGATTTTTCTTTCAACTGGGTATGTAAAGCCTTATAATATAGGTACCATTACTCCCCAAATATAGGGTGATAATTGATAAAAGGTAATATGCAGTTTCTAAGGAATCATACCAAAAAGAATTAACCACTGGAAAGGGTTTAAAAAAAAAAGTGAAAGGGTGGGAGGAAGCCTCAGACAAACACAGACACTAAAAAGTCATTGCATCACCTGAATGTTTAGCAGATGAGCTCCTCTTTTCACTACAATGGGACTCAAGCCATGAAGAAAACAAGCTATTGAGTCCTAACTCAATAGGTTAGGAATCAATAACTCAATAGTACCTAAAAAACACAGGGCAAAACTTTTCTTCTTTTCCCTTAATCCTTATTTCATAAATGCAGGGATCCAGGGCCCAAGTATTGGAACAGTACCATAGCCCCCTTAAATCATTCCCTCAGCTGGGGGTCTTAATGTGTTATATTCTTCATGGGTAGGGAACATGAGCCAGACCAAATATTTAATAAATTTACTGACTGCCTATTATATGCTAAGCACTATGCAAAGTATTGGGAAGAATCAAAGGAAAAGACACTGGGGAGGAAGGAAAGAGATATTAAGAAATGATAAACTATAAAATACAGAACCCATAATGAAATTCAGCTTTATAAAGTGCATAACTCATCCACCCCAACTGATTCAGAATTTCCAGGGAAGGAGCCTAGGAATTTTTAACAAGTGCTTCCAAGAATGAATGAACCCCAGGACAGAAAAGCTCAACTGTCTGAAAATCACTTCCACTTAACAGACTATGATCTTACAAATGCTAATGTTTGCTTTATAAACAACAGGTAATCCAGGAGAAAAAAAACAACAAAGTGCCTGATATGAAATAGCTTTACCTGCAGAGGGAGGTACACATAATTTATAATGGGTAAGTGTATACATTTGCACACAAGTATTACGCAGGCTTGGGAATGACCTTTAGATAACAGTAGGGCAGTTCTATATTGAGGGCAAGACATTGATGTAAAGACCCTAAAAAAGGAACTTTGATCATCTTTAATGCTGGATCTTAAAAAATAGAAACTGGGGCCTGCCCGGTGGCACAAGTGGTTAAGTGCGTGCGCTCTGCTGCAGCGGCCCGGGCTTTGCCAGTTCGGATCCCAGGCGCGCACCGACGCACTGCTTATCGAGCCATGCTGTGGTGGCGTCCCATATAAAGTAGAGGAAGATGGGCAGGGATGTTAGCTCAGGGCCAGTCTTCCTCAGCAAAAAGAGGAGGATTGGCATCAGATGTTAGCTCAGGGTGGATCTTCCTCAAAATAAATAAATAAAATAAAAATAAAAAATAAATAAAAACTGGTGAAATATGACTTAGTCTCAAGTTTCACTCGTTACTAGTAATGTACCAATGTTGGTTTCTTAGTTCTGACAAAAGCACCATGGTAATGCAGGATGATAACATCAGGGGAAACTGAAATTAGGTAAGGAGTAGAGTGCCCGTACGAACCCTCTGTACTATCATTGCTACTTTTCTGTAAACATAAACATTAAAAAATAGAAAGTTTATTAAAAATATGTCATTAGTACAGCTGAAGGTAAACAAAACTCCTTTTCCAAAGATTAAGAAGTTTGCTTGAGGGCCGGCCCTGTGGCTTAGCGGTTAAGTGCCCACGCTCCGCCACTGGCGGCCCGGGGTTCGGATCCCGGGCGCGCACCGACACACTGCTTCCCCAGCCATGCTGAGGCCGCGTCCCACATACAGCAACTAGAAGGATGTGCAACTATGACATACAACTATCTACTGGGGCTTTGGGGAGAAAAAGGAGGAGGATTGGTGATGGATGTTAGCTCAGAGCCGGTCTTCCTCAGCAAAAAAAAAGGGGAGGATTAGCACGATGTTAGCTCCGGGCTGATCTTCCTCACAAAAAAAAAAAAAAGTTTGCTTGAATTTCAGTTGGACTCACATCAACTTAGGAGGGAAAAAGGCACAAAACTTGAGTTGGTATTAAGTTGATGCTCAAAACGTTTCAGAAATAAAGCTACAAAATTCCAGAATCCATACCTAGAAATTTTCTTTCCATAAGTCTAGGGTGGGTTTCAGAGTTTTATAATTTTATTTATTTATTTATTTATTTTTCCCCCAAAGCCCCAGTAAATAGTTGTATGTCATAGTTGCACATCCTTCTAGTTGCTGTATATGGGACGCGGCCTCAGCATGGCCGGAGAAGCGGTGCGTCGGTGTGCACCTGGGACCCAACCCGGGCCGCCAGCAGTGGAGCGCGCACACTTAACCGCTAAGCCACGGGGCCAGCCCCAGAGTTTTAATCACGTGAATTAAAATATTTATTGAGCACCTACTGCATTCCAGGCCCAGGTCTCTACGGGTTCTCTGCCCTCATGGGCCTACATTCTAGTTGGAGATAAAGAGGAACTCTAAACAGTAAGGAAAACAAATTACAGACTGTTAAAAGTTAGTAAAGGCTGTGAAAAAAATAACAGTATAACAGAGTAAAGTGGGGCTGGAAAAGTCAGAGGTAAAAGTTACAATAAAAAATACAGCGGTTATGGTAGAGCTCATTGAGAAGCAGCATTTGAGCAATCTGAACACATATTCAAGTTATGCAAATATAAATGGCCATGGAAGACACTCTCTGTGGAGTTGGGAGAGGGGACCTATTTTTTTTCTAACCAGGAAATTCTCATAAGCCTCTCTTTCCTCCTCTTAGCATTTACCCACCTACTTTAGAACTCTGAAGATGTGATAATTTCATGAGAAGGTAGACCAATGAATAAGTGTACTACAAAGGATAGGGTAAAAGCTTCTAATAAAACTTTTTTTTTTAAAGATTTTATTTATTTATTTATTTGCCCCACAAAGCCCCAGTAGATAGCTGTATGCCATAGGTGCACATCCTTCTAGTTGCTGTATGTGGGACGCAGCCTCAGCACGGCCGGAGAAGCGGTGCGCCAGTGCGCACCCGGGATCCGAACCCGGGCCGCCAGCAGCGGAGCACGTACACTTAACCGCCAAGCCACAGGGCCGGCCCCTAATAAAACTCTTTTATATAGAGATTCAGAAGAAATTTTCAAAAAGGTTTTCAAATCCATAGTAAAAAAGAATGTATAAAAATATAGCATGTATGAAATTAAAAAAAAAAAAAGCCAAAAACAAACACTTTGTCTACAGATCTTCAGGAAAAAATAAACACATGCACACAACCCCCAAAGATGAGATAGTAGATTTACACACATATTCAAAGCCAGACAATAACATTTTATAGCTTGTGCATTAAAATTGAAAGTCTAGTCTGTTTTTAGACTGAAGATGGTGAAATCACCCCAAAGAAAAAAATTGTCTGAGGAGGAGACTTTGGGCTTCATTATGTGGGAGATGAACTAAATGAAGATATAGTTACAAAGAAAGCATTTAAGGAAATACATTTTGAACCACTGCCATAGCAACAGAGTTCCTAGCTTCTCATGCATGAGCTAGTGTTTCTCCTTAAACATAAAAATATTGTAAGGCACACTCTGGGACCAAGGCCACTATTCTGAATAATTAAGACTTGAATTCCTAGAAAGACTCCAAGGAAGGCCCTATGGCCCACAGTAGGACAGGGAAAGGGAGTGATGAAGAAAGAAATTTAACACTAAGTTAGTTGGGTAAGTATCACTGAGATGGTAGTGAAGAACACTTTGGGAGGGCTCACCACACCTGCCTGTTATTAAGCACCAGCTCCCCCTCTGGAAGCCATGCCTGTGCCTGGCCTCTCATCTACATGCCTACGTATTTGCCCCTAATTAAAAACCTGCCTCAGGGCCAGCCTGGTGGCGTGGCAGTTAAGTTCGTGTGTTCTGCTTCTGTGGCTGGGGGTTCTCGGGTTCAGATCCTAGGCACGGATGTACGCACCACTCATCAAGCCATGCTGAGGCGATGTCTGACAAAGAAGAAGTAGAATGACCTACAACTAGGATATACAACTATGTACTGGGGCTTTGGGGAGAATGAATGAATGAATGAATATATAAATAAAAACAAACCTGCCTGATGTGCTGCCTTTCACGAGGCTCTTTCCAATGAAAAACACAAATTTTCATCTCACTTTCCTTCATTTATACCACATTATTCCTCAGCTCAGTGCTCACTTCTTAGAGGAAGTCGGCTCTGATCAACTCTACCTGCCTGATTACTCCAAATGCCTCCTCTCAGAGGTCCAACTGGCCTTGTTGATAACTATAATATTGTTATAAAGCACCTGACTGCCACACAATTGGGCCTTCTGTGGATCAAGGTACAGTTCCTGAGTATAGGACATCTCTCCCTATAAACCAGAAAGCAAATTAAATAGGGCTCTGTATGGCCGGCTCCGTGGCTTAGCGGTTAAGTGCGCGCGCTCTGATGCTGGCGGCCTGGGTTCGGATCCCGGGAGCGCCCCGAGGCACCACTTCTCCGTCCAACGCGAGGCCGAGTCCCACGTACAGCAACTAGAAGGATGTGAACCTATGACATACAGCTATCTACTGGGGCTTTGGGGGGAAAAAACTGAATAAATAAAATCTTTAAAAAAAAAAAAAAAAAAAATAGGGCTCTGTGATCTGACACCAGTGTTATAAGGAATATGTCTGAGAGTTTTTTAATAAGTTTCCTAAAATGAAAGGGTTACCTATTACCAATCTCCCCCATTACACTCAGCTTCCTATGGGCTCTCCATAGCATCTCCTCACTGTAGGTTCTCAGTCAGACAATGACACTTCATGACTGTCTTGGCCCCTATGAATGGTAAATTAGTCGTGAGCAGGGATTAGAACCAAGGCTCTAAAATTACCTACAGAGTGACTCAGCAAATACATGATGAGCAAAGATCATAAAATGCTGGAGCTAGGTCCACACTTTTCAGGAGATAAAGGCTTAGGGAGGGAAGAATTTTGCTTAAGATAACAGTGTTTGGCCAATATTACAAACCTTTTTCTGATGTGTTTTGTTCCGGACTTTGCAGGTCCTCAGAGGCACAAGAATCAGCTACGAGGGAAGGGGAGCGGTTAGAAGGCTGGCTCCCGTGTTGCTCCAACACAGCTTCCAGTTCAGCCATTTTCTGCTGAAGCTTTATCAGGTTATCTTGCATGGTATCCCTCTGCTACAAACACAAGAAATGACACCAAGAAAGTTACACTCTTTTAGAAACTTGCCAGAAAGCAAGAATATGTCACAACAATTAATTTTAGTATGGAAATTGAAATCATCTAGTATGGAATTACGATTCTGGCTGAACACTTTTTAATCCAACCATATTCATGCAATTAACACCCGTGAAATTACTTCAGAATGTTAGAGGGGGAAAAAAATTCCTCAAACTCTTCCAAATAGGCTTGCTTTACGTGATGTCCTTTTGAAGATAGTTATTTTCTTTTCAAACTAGGGAGTGAAAAAATAATTAAGGTACTTAAACACTTTTGATATTTAAAATTAACATGATTCTGATTAACATTTTACACAGGCTGTGTTTCAAAGATTTGGTATTGTGGCACTCACAAGAGACTTTGGTTAGTCCATTTAAAAATGTCTGATTTCTGGCTTGTGAGGACTCTTCCTTTTCTGGGATTCTTTGAACATTTAGTTTCTAACAGAAAGAATAAAGAGCTAATTCACTTATTGATCTATTGGTTCATTCAGCAACTACTTGTTGACCATCTATTATATGCCAGGCACTGTCCTAGTGTTGGGCATACAGTCCTCCTGGTGCTGCCATTGTGGATGGGGATAGGGTACCTGGAGATCATCACAGAGAAGGACCTGCTGAAGGGAAGGATCCAACAGAAAGAGCCCTAGGAAAGCCTGTAAGGGCAGTTATTGTTATCAATTTAAGATAATGGGCTCTTCTTGCTTATGGAGCTCCTGATGTTTATTTCTCCATTTCAAGAAAAAATCTGCTAAGTCTAAGGGTTTTGATAAGCAAAGTATTTGGTAAGTAAGGAGCTTTCCAAAATATACATTTCTTCATTACTTTTATAAGGAACATTAATGGTTGCCAGCAAACCCTGGGGAAACACAGACTGTTTCACTCTCCATTTCTTCTTCTTCTGATCCTTGAAAATGACTTTGCCCTCTACTAAAAACAAGCCACCTACTTTCTCCTGCTACACTGAGTTCACATTTTCAGGTTTTTATGAGCAGAAAATGTATTCCCAGCTTCACAAAGGCTTCCACTGCTACCCTGAGACAGCTCCGCTGCCAAAGTCTGTAGTAGCGCCATTGCCACCACGTGGTGCTTGTGAGTAGCTCCATCACTGATCAAACCCCAGCCAAGGGCTTGCCTCAGTAAATCTGGAATGACACCACACATTAGTCACCACTGTCACGACCATCACATCTAACCTCTATGTAGCCATTAAACAGCATAGAAAATCAGAAAAAATAATAATAGGAGAATTATAGTTAGATAACTTTCCTCTGGGTTTTCCCAAAGGAATTACTTTATAACTTCGACAAATTCCCCTGTAGGCAATTGGCCAGATGTACTGGGGAGACCCAAACCAAATTGGTTACCAAGTTTTCTTGATTCTAATTCTTAAGTGTTTCTTGAATTAGCCCTACTCTTCTATTCCCACCATGCTACTCTGATCTCTACTTTTTTCTTTTTTTTTTGTGAGGAAGATTAGCCCTCAGCTAACATCCGCTGCCAATCCTCCTCTCTTTGCTGAGGAAGGTTAGCCCCGAGCTAACATCTGTGCCCATCCTCCTCCATTTTACATGTGGGACGCCTACCACAGCATGGCTTGATAAGCGGTGTGTACGTTCGTGCCCAGGATCCAAACCTGCAACCCCAGGCCACCGAAGCGAAGCATGAGAACTTAACCACTACACCACCGGGCCGGCCCCTCTGATCTCTACTTTTAATACAGCTACGTTACTGTGGAAGTTCCCTAAAAACCATGTTTCTCATGTCTCTTTCTTCCATAAGGACCTCAGTGGTATACCACTGCTTAGGTAAGTTAATACTTTCTGAACACTATGTAATTATTACTCATTATTGCCCTCAGGATAAAGTCCAAATTCCTAAGCATAGCATTCAAAAGGCCCTTCACAGCCTGATCTTATCTCTTATTTCTCCCCAAAACTACCCATATGCTGTTTTCCAGTTACACAGGACAACTTTGTGCTTTGTGGGCATTTCATGCTTCCGTGACTTTGCCTTGACTGCTGCCTCCCTTCTCTTTCCAACCTGGAAAAATTCTTCTCATTTTTCAAAGTCCAGCTCAAATGTCTCCTTCAGAAGTCCTCACCAATACCTCTCCTTTAAGAACAGATGATCCTTCACTACTTCATTTATACTGCTCATGTGTTAGTATACTGAAGTGGAATACATGACCCTCCTTGATGGAAGGAATCTTTCCTCAATCACTTTTGTATCCCCAATGCCTAGCAGACAGTAACTACTCAGTAAATGTTTAAGGCAGAAATGAATTACCAAAAAAATATAGTTAGGGCCGGCCCCGTGGCTTGGTGGTTAAGTGCGCGCGCTCCGATGGTGGTGGCCCGGGTTCGGATCCCAGGCGTGCACCGAGGCACCACTTCTCCGTCCATCCTGAGGCCGAGTCCCACATACAGCAACTAGAAGGATGTGCAGCTATGTCATACAACTATCTACTGGGGCTTTGGGG